TGTTTTTGAATTGTTATTTTGCAATTTTTTTACGATGTTCTACCAGTGTCACTATCCTGTGGTTTATGTAGCCGTAAAATTTTTGATGGTAAGCAAAGTTGTTTTGTTGTCTGTATCGATATACGTTTTTTTTTTTTTTTTTTTTTCTTTTTCTTTTTTGGAATGAGGAAGGCAGGGAGAAGAGGAGAAGTGAGGGGAGTTAGGGTGGAGAAGTGAGGGGAGTTAGGGTTTAGAAAGGATTTTAATTCCCTTGTGTCGAGTAAAGAGATACGCAGAGGTGAAAAAAAAAGTTCCATATTCTATGAGACGAAAAAAGTGGATATACACATAAGCGCAATATTTAATTAAAATTTTTGAAATGTTTGATACAGCTGATGAAGTAAAGCCAAATATCATTAGATTGCTTTTCAAGATGGGGAACAAAAAGGAGATAAATGCTGAAATCTTAATTTCTCATTGTATTTCACTCTTCCTTTACTTCTTCCCTTTTACTGATGTAAAATTTGGACTTAAAACCGGCTTTAATGTTTCGATTTTATGAATTTATTTTTGAATTATTTAATGCGTGTTTTTTCGTTGCTGCTTATTAAAACATCTTTTTGGAGTGCTTTAGCGTGAACTCGATGCCACAGTCTCTATTCAGTTGCCATTGAATGTTTATCTTTTTCTTGGGCGTACTTAGCGGTGTATTTTTGGTACTGTCGGTTGCTTATATTTACTTCTTTTATCCACTTAATGGTTGTCAGCGACCACTAATTTTTTACGATCAGTTTCCACCGATACGTTTACCAGGGGTAAGTAAATTAGAGCACTTCTTAGCAAAAGATATTTCTCTCGTTTCTTAGTTTGCTATTTACTTTTTGTTGTGGAACCCTCAAGACTTTTGCTTGTAGAAGAATGTTGCATTGAATTAATATTTTAGTAATGGAAGGCAACAAATGAACTCGGCTAAAAAAGTGCTTGGGATCGGAAATGATAGAACTGTTTCGATGTTTTTTCAACCAGTGTCTAAACATTATTAAAAATGTTATTATTTGCAGGTGCTCGCTCAATTTTTGCGTTCTGGCGAGGATGATTCTGGTGGCTCAAAATGGGAATCTTGTTATACTTTTAGTATTATAGCACATTTTTTGTTTCAAGAGTTTAAAAATACTCGTCGATTTCGAAGGTGATTTTTTTATAATTATTTGTTTTTTACTGTTTGATCACAATAGTTTTATTGATTGTAGGTGGTTCTTCAAACGTCTCCAATTGGAGTTAAATGACCTTACTACGCGGTCTGCTGCTGGACTTTTAATACAGGTACTCTTCCGCAGCAACTCTTGTTTTTAAATGTAAAAGTGTCGTTGGGAAAATACCCAAGTTTTTTCTGTTACGGTTTTTATTTTCAAATTGCTCCATTGAAGCTCCTTCACAAAGTTGGACTTGTTATTAGGATGTAAGGGTACGTGATCTTTCCACTGGATCAAAATTTCCTGTTATAAGTAAAATGCGCGTCGAGCGTTATCAAATGTCAGAGGATGGGGAAACATTTGAGGTAATTATTGCTTTTTAAATTTTTTTGGGCAGGTTTTTCACATATTATTATTATATGGTTATAGGAATTGAATCTTTTATTGAACGTTGATTATACAGGAGGTTTCCAGTTTTCAATAGATGTTTCACTGGTTTTGAATCGTCGCGCTCATTTATCTTTGAAGGTATCTTGAGCTAAGATTTCACTTCTTTCAAAAATTTTATTTGTATTGCTTTGGTTTGGAATACTGTAGACCTGCATAGTTTATGAATATTGCTTGAAAACTGTGTCCTTTTGTATCTAATGGATTTGTTAAACAAAGCCATGTACCAATGAAATTTATGTTTTTATTTGTAGTAATTTGTCAGAAAGGGTGAAATTTAGAAAGTTCTGTGTTTTGAAGATCTAGAATTAATTTTGATTTACTTATTCTTTACCAATAAGTTTTATTTTGTTTCGCTTTGCATTACTGTCCGTTGTAGTATTTCTTTTGAGGTGGAAAGGAAAGCAAGGGGTAAAAGCGAATGGAAAAATTGCTTTTGTTCTAGTTTCTTCAGATAGGTTCCAATTTACGGTAATTTACTATTTTAGCTTACACATCTGGCTGGTAAAATTCGATTAACGCTTACAAGAAAGCCTTACACACATTGGTCTTTTACTTTTATAGAACCACCAGTTATTGACTTCAAGGTTAAAATTTTTTACTTTTTATTTCTTTTAATCCAAATGCTTTATTTTTTCGAATTTTTACGAATTGATTTTTTAGGATCAGTAATTAACTTACGTTTTGAAGTTGTTGGGTCATCTTTTTCAAATCATTTTCGTAACATCCGAAGTTTTTTTTACAGGTTGAGTCAGAATGGCAGGGCCGTCAGGTGAAATATGTAATACCTCTTATTACGCAACAATTTCGACGAGTTTTGCAGCGGAAGCATGTTTTTCCAAATTACAAAATTCGGTACCGACCATTTTTTCCGAACCCGCTGTTTGTTCCTTCACCTCCTATGGGTATTTGAATTTCTACTGCTGTTTTGAAACGGACTCTGGTGGTGTTAAGTTTTTTTATAATAGATCCTTTACCTAAAAGGTATATACTTTTGCAGAAGCGTTTGCGCATATTAAATTGGTTGGTGGACTGGAAGTAACCGTATTGCAGTGCACGCGCTTGAACATTTCACTGGCTTCTGAAGAGGAAACAGAAGTGTACTGTACCATATCCTTGGGTAATTACAATAGGAATATTAACGCTCTGCGAATGATTTATTTATTTTACCAGTTGACTTTTCAGACCATCGCCCTTTTCTGCATTTAGCTTCGCCTCATTCAAATCACTGTTTTACTGTTCTTATAAATTTTATTCGCCATGGCTTTGCCGATCCACTAGGACTAACGTTTAACAAGGTTATTTTCTCGACATGGTAACATCTCTTAGACTTAGAAAAATTGGTTCAAGCTTAGTAACTTAGGCTTGCTTTGAAGCCATTTAGCGGACCCTTGCTCCTCATAGAGTCAATTATTTCTAAGAAAGTTTAGTGCTGTACAGAGCGATGGGTGTGTGATGAACTTTTTTTTATTTTAGTCAGTGGCAGAGTTAGGGCTTCGAGCTGTTGAAATCTCAGAAGTAATTAGCGGGTCAACAGCGGAAAAATGTGGTTTTAAAATAGGTAATACTTTAGAGATTTTATAAAACTACAACGATTTTTTACTGTGAATATATTGTTTTGAATGTTAGGGGACATTATCCTAGCCGTAAACAATGTTCCGATTCGCAATGAGCGGCAGGCAACGAAGTTGCTTTGCGGTACGAGTGGAGAACTTAACGTTTTGGTGGAGAGGAATTTAACCGATTTTTCAGCAGAAAGCGGGAAGTTAAGTGAGTAGTAAATTAGCTTTGTTTGGTCAACTGGGTTCCAGTGCTGGACAAAATTTATCTATTTTTTATGGTGCAGGAAAGTTAAAACGGTTTTTTTCTACAAAGTGATTGTTTTTTGGTTTTTTTCCTTTTCTGTATATATATATATATATATATATATATATATAT